CACATAAGTAAATTTTATAAAATAAAAGAACAATGTCTAACAAAGGAGAAACTGTTAATTCGACTACTCATGATTTAAGTATTGTTGTCAGTGAAGGAGCAATGCTAAATAATGATCATATGTATGAATTTCCAAAGCTATTGGGAAGACAATCAAATTTTTTTTATAATATGCAAAATACTTTGTGTTTACAAACAATTAATTTAATAGTTCCAATCGAGAAAAGTAAGCAGCACATAAAAATACTTTTTAGTAGATCTTATCAATCTGTTCATTGGATTTGTACTTCTTATGATAGAATAAGCCTTTACATTTTTGATAGTCTTAATAAAAAATGTTTAAATCATGATTAAAGAGATTATTTAATTAGATTATCTCCTTTTAAACCACCAGTAGTTTTCACAACTGTTGATCAACAACCAGAATACAGTTTCTTATGGAGTATATGCAATAGCATTTGCAACATCGTTGTTTTGTAATATTCTGCCCCACTCTGTCAATTACTATTATTGTAATATTAGAAATAATTTAATGTTAATGTTCGAAAACAATAGTTTATGTAAATTTCCCTCTGTACAACTTTCTAATAGTAGATCTTGCATAGTTGTGTATGACTGAAATTGCCTTTTAAATGAAAAAGATATTTCCTAAAAACTCTATTAAGAAAGAAATTTCTTTCTCGAGAATAATAAATGAAATAAATGAAGGAAATATTGCATCAACAACACTTAAACAAAGTAGGGCTGAAATTCAAAAAAGTTATCGTGAGAGGCAAAAATTAAAACGTAAAATTGATAATGAAATTTTTTTCAGAGGAAACATACACATCCATTTCATTCCCGAGAATTATAAATGAAATAAAGAAAGAAATATTGCATCAAAAACACTTAAAAAAAGTAAGGCTGAAATTCAAAAAAATTATCGTGAGAGGCAAAAATTACGAAATATTAAATTTGAGAAATATAATTTTATATATTTTATTTTTTTAATTTTCTAATAAATATTAATAATTATTGATTGTTTAACAAGTCATTGTTTATAAATAATTATAGTAAAATTTAATTACTATAATTAACAATTTTAATATTTTTAAATAAATTATTGATTAAAAATTAATTATTAAAAATAAGTTATTATTAAGCAATTATTGTTAAACAATAAATAATCGACAATTTATTATTAACAACATTGATTGACAATTGGGATTATTAATTTTATTAATTAATAAGAACTTTAAACAAATTAGGGTAACTTAATGTTACATTCAAATGTTAATTAACAAATTAGTTAATTATTTATAATAATTATTAATTGGTGAATTAATAATCTGAGTTCTTAATAAATAAACAATAACAGGTAATTAATAATCGAAATCACCAATTTTATTGCTAACATCTTCAATAATAATGTTTTTAAAAAATTTATAAATAATAAATATTTAAACAATGAGTTAATTATAAATTTTTAAACAATTTATTAACAATTAATCTTAAAACATATTGTTAATTAACAGATTGATTAAATATTTATTAAATTACATCAAATTAATTATAAAATTTAATAATTAACAATTTTATTGTTATTAACAACAACTACTATATTTTTTAAATGTTATTAAACAAAATTCTTATTTTCATTGTATAAATATACGAAAAGTCATAGAAAATGTTAGATTTAAGAAAAATAGCCATTTTTTGTAAATTCTAGAAATTAGAGTTGGAAGGAGAGATGAAGTTGAGGAAAGACCAGCCCCTTTTCAAAGATCCTCCTACGCTTAAAACTGATAAAAATGGGACGGACCCAAAATTCACCTATCAGGCCCCTCTCTTAATGCATTTTCTCTCCATTTTCTTTATCTTAAACCAATCCTAAAACACCCAACCTCTTTTTCCCTCTCTATAACTTCTTTTTCCACAAATTTTCCTCCCTTAAGAAAATCGGAAGTGGAAACAGTTACATAAATATATGTGTTCCTTAAGGAAAATTCAGTTCTCGAACAATTGTCAATTATAACTTAGAGTTCTCTCCAAGTTCTATTTCAAGTTTTATTTCAAGTTCTATTTCAAGTTTTATTTCAAGTTTTATTTCAAGTTTTACTTCAAGTTTTAATTTAAGTTTTAATTTAAAAATTATAAAAAGAATAATAATTCAACATCTACAACTTCATCTCTGTTTCTAGTTCCAATCTCTCTCAACTATAAAATATTTATATATTAAAAAAAGTAAGTACCTATATTAAATTGCTATTTTATTTCTTTCTAAATTCTTGTCATAAATATTCCTATATTGGGAACGAATCGTACTACGTTAATCCTTGGATTGATCTTAGTATAAATTCATTCTTACATTCCATTTTTTTATTTCCATTTTTATTATTTTAAATACAAGTGACTCCTAAAAATATTATTTACCCTTGATTCCGAGATCCAGTATTGAACTGCAGAAAATCTCAGTCCGAGAAATATCTCATTCCACTTTTATAAATTTTTCCATCCTTATTTTTTCTATTAATCGAATCAAAGAATAAAAGAAAGATAACGAAAGTAATCCCAAGCTATTAGACGCAAGTCTAGGCTTAAAATTAATAAAATATAATTGAATTTAATTAAAATTTAATTAAATTTGGTAAAAAGTATCATTACGAACCATAAAATTATTATTATTTTTTTGGGACGTAACAAAATTGCTTTAAGAGATAAAGAATTTAATCAATTTTTATATGGAGGTAGATTGTTTTAACAATGAGTGGTTGAAAATGATGTAAAAATAGAAACAGATAAATTAAGATTTTGTGCAAATAATCAAGCTCAAGGGAGAAGTGAAATATATAAAGGACTGATGGATTATTCACACAATCATGTGTTGGAAAATAATGTACACGTGTGAAAAACGCTTATATTGCCTTCTACTTTTATAGAATCACCTCGCAATATAATGCAACAATATCAGGATTCGATGGCTATTGTTGCTCGTCATGGTAGACCAGATTTATTTATCACAATTACAATCAGTGTAATCTAAATTGGAAAGAGATACAGGAAAATTTATTCCCCTATCAAACTGCTGCTGATAGACCTGATATAGTAACTAGGGTTTTCGCATTAAAAGTTAAACATCTACTTAAACCTATTGTTGATAATAAATTAATTGGAGAAGTCAAATCTTATGTTTATGTTATTGAATTTCAAAAGCGATGATTGACACACATTCATTTGTTAGTTATATTGAAAGAAAATTCTAAAATATTAACAGTTGAAAGTGTTGATCGTTATATTTCTGCAGAAATTCCTGATGAAAATATCAATCCTATTTTACATAAAATAATAATGCAAAATAATATTCACGGACCTTGTGGAGATTGGTGTTTAATTGATGGGAGATATTCAAAAAAATTTCCAAAAAGTTACCAAGAAGAAACTACAATTGAAGAAAATTGCTATGTTCATTGTCGTCGAAGAAATAATAATAAAGCGTATGAACGACCAAATGGATTCATTGTTGATAATTCTAATGTTGTTCCGTATTGCCCTAAACTTTTAGAAATATTTAATTGTCATATTAATGTAGAAATAGTTTCGAGTATCAAGTCTGTTAAATATTTATATAAATATATTCTCAAAGGGCATGATGATGCATCTATTGTTATCACAAATGCGAATGGTGAGGTAACTGTTAATCATAATGAAATACATCATTATGAAGAAAATAGATATGTTGGTCCAGTTGAGGCAGTTTGGAGAATTCTAAATAAACCTTTAGAGAAAAAGAGTCATAGCGTTAATCGCTTACCCATACATTTGCCAAATGAACAGAATGTTATTATTCGAGAAGAAAAAGATAGTAACGGCATTTCTTTCGATTTACATACAAAACTTTTGGATTATTTTAAACTTAACCAACGAGATAGTAATGCTCAAAAGTATTATTATTCAGATATACCAGAGCATTATACATAAGTAACAAAATCTCTTGAATGGAAACAAAGAATTTGTAAAGTAAAAGTATAGGGAATAATGTATTTAGTTAATCCACATCAATTGGAGTTATTTTATCTTAGATTATTGTTGCTTACAGTAAAAGGAGCAACTTCCTTTAAAAGTTTGAGAACAGTTAATGGAGTTGTTCATGAATCTTTTACAACTGCTTGTTTGGCATTAGGACTTGTAGAAGATGATAGTGAGTGGATTATGACAATCGAAGAAGCTGCATTATGGATGATGCCTCATTCACTTCGCCAATAACTCACAAAATTTTTAATTCAATGTCATCCTATACATCCGGATACTCTATATATGGGAACATTTTAAGGGTCAAATGTCAGAAGATTATTAAAAAATAAACGACATTGAAGCTGAACAAAGGGCTTGTAGAAATATTAAAACAATGTTATTTAACGAAGGATATAATTTATCTGACTTTCAGGGGTTATTAGATATACAAGATGGAATTTTTACTGAACAAGTTAATGATATAAATATTGCAGAACATATTAACATAGGAGAACAGAATTATGCTAAATTAAATATAAAACAAAAACTTGTAGTTGATTATGTACTTGATGCCCTAAAGGATTCTTCTTTTGATGGTTCTATGGCAATTGTTAAGAAGTAAAGGAATAAATGTTTGCAACATGGCATTTACAGGTATAGCTGCGACTCTGCTTCCTAATGGAAAAACTGTTCATAAAGTTTTATGCTTACCCGTTCCATTATATAGTGATTCATCTTTAAACATTAAAGTTCAATCTTTAGAAGGCCTCTTTTTAAAAAATATAGATGTTTTTATTTGGGATGAAGCACCAATGGCTCTAAAATATGATTTAGAAATTATGGATTATCTATTCCAACGAACCTTTTGGTGGTAAAATTGTAATTCTAGTCGGAGATTTTCGACAAACTTTACTAATTAAAGAACGGGGTACTAAATCAGAAATAGTAAATTTATCAATAAAAAATAGTAAATTATAGAAATCTTTCAAAAAATATACATTAACAGATAATATGAGAGCTTTACCACAAGAAGCGGAATTTGTAGATTTTTAACTTAAAGTTGTCAATGGTGAAGTAAATGATGCAGATGATGTTATATTACCAGAACATATTATTCAACAAGGGAATAGGTACAAAAAATTTAAAATAAAATTTAATCCTTTAAAAATAAAAAGTTTTTAATAACTATGTGTGTATCTTTAGAGTAATATTAGAAACTTTTTGGTGTAAAAACATTTCCATTTTTAATAGCAGAAAGAAAAGGGCCGTGCGTAGCGCGCAAAAATAGTGACTAGTTAGGTATTATAAAACGTGAAGAAAGCGATCACTCCTAGTCGAAGACTCGGAGTGATCGATATCTTCATGTTTTATAATAATATTCTTATGTTATTGAATTTCTGATTTTTGAATATATTAATTTTTATAAAAAAAATAATGTTTAAATATTTGTTTAAAAATGAAGTTATTGATGCTTTCGAATAATATTCGTTTTAAAAACCTGGAAAACCTGGAAAAGTCAGGAAATTTTAAAAGAGCAAAAGCGTGACAACCCTGATAATTCATTAATTTTTATAAAATTTATCGCCCATAATTTTTCATAAATAATAAAATTGCTCAAAAAAATGCAATTATTTTTTTAAAATATTATTAAAACTTGAATAAAGAATACAATTTTAAGAAACATTCAATTATTCAATAGAATAATAAAATTCGTTGTAATAATTCAAATATTCTCATAAATAACTTTTAATTTGTCGTAGAAAATGAATTAGTTTTAAACATTTTAAAACAATTCTACAAATTATCGCCAAAATTTCAATTCTCTTTATAAATAATATTTTCCTCCAAAATCCATGTTTGAGTCGAATTTGAAAAATTAAATTAATTAATTTAATAATATCAATTTTTAAATAAACTTTAACTTAACGTGTCCTTCGGACAAAGAAATTGTAAAGGTAGTGGATTCCCCCTCTACTTAGTTATTGATTCAACTAAGAGGTTGAAAACCCTACTCCTTGAATTTAGAGAAGATAGGATAGTTTTAGGAATAATTAAATCATAAGCAAAAATAAGATTAAACAAATAAGATATATTTTACCCAAAGAAATCCCTAATACAAGTAACTCTAAATTGGTGTGTGTAAAGAGTAATTCTATACTTGTGTATGAAAGAATAGTATGTGTATGTGTGTGAATGAGGTGAAGAGTATATGTAATTTTACACAAAATGCTTTACTCACTACTTATAAATTCTTTCCTTGAAATGTGAATCCAATGACGAATGTTTTTATCTCTCTGTCTATCTCGAAACGGTTATTCCAGAAAATTGAGGAAATACCAAATCTAGGGTCACTAGATTGATATTTTCACTGAGTACTTTAATATTCCTTTAGGAATACACAAAACCTGAGACTTAAACCTCGTAAAGAAAGGTTGTCTTTACGTATATTGGAATTAAAACAAATCCTTTAAATTTATTAGAATTATATTTATCTTTCTGCTGACTTTAGATTTTTTACTTTACTTTAATTATTTTTATTCTTTTGTATGAATCACAACTTCTTTATATTTATTCTTTACTCTTTTATTTTATTATTTTCTTCAACTCTCTATTCTCAATATTTATTTCATAAATTCTCTATATTTATTTTCTTTCACTTAATTTCAATATTTTATGTTTTTATTTCATCAATTCTTTCAATTATGCACTTCAATTATTTTATTTTATTCAAATATATGTATTCAATTCAACTCTTTTTTACTTCGATTTAATTGTATTTTTCTCAAATAAATTCACTTCTACTTGAACAAACTTTACTTAATTTCACTCTTTAAAACTTCTGAGAAATATTTCAACTTTGAACTCGGCTAACTTGCCGGACTTAGAAAATGCCTGGCCCAAACTGCCGGCTACATCTACAGGTGACTACGACCTGGACTAAACTGCGGGCCCAAACTGCCCGGGCTAACTGCCGGCTACAACGGCCTGGCTTAAACTGCCCAGATTTCCCAGTGTCAATCAATTTTATTGAAAGACAATTTAGTGGGGAAATCGTATGTTAAGTTCATTGTACTCGACTGTTGTCAAGTCAATTTCTGCAACCTTGCAGATTTAAGCAGTGGTGTGATCCGAGTTCAGTGACTTGGATGCACCACTCCTTATATTGAGCAATTTAACTTTGATATTTTCTAACTAATTTTCAAAAGGGTCAATAAACTGTTTTTCAAGAAAAAGGAATTCATTAAGAAACACTTTACTATGTTGTCAGGTTTTTCACCTCGAAATTGCGAAACCCAAAGGAATGTTAAATTCAGTTAAATCTTATATTTATATAGAATTAGAATTTCTATGTCATTAAAAATGCCCTGGATTAAAATATTCAAAAGAGGGAATGTTCTTTTGTGAGATTACAAAGAGTTGTTTTTGTGTAAATGTTTTTACAATGTTTAACAAAATCTCATGTTGTGTGCAATTGTTGCATGTAATTTTAATTTAAGTATAATTTAAAAAATTTATTAACAATATAAAAAGTTACGGAGTTCGGCCGTAACAATCCAATTATTCTCAAATCTTTTAATAAAATTATTAACAGAATTTAAATTATTTTTATTACAATTTTCTTCAAATTTATCAAAAGATAAAATTCGTTGCAATAATTCAAATATTGTCATAAATAACTTTTAATTTGTCGTAGAAAACGAATTAGTTTTAAACATTTTAAAACAATTCTACAAACGAATTTAATCATCTTGCTAAACAACAAAATTATTTTCATGAAATTAATTATTTTGAGCAATTCTAGTCAAATTCTTTTTCAAAATTCAAATATTCTGATAAATATCAAAATTCATAACAAGAATTCTTTTATTGTTTTGAAAAGTAAATAAAATTTAAACAAAAATTCTAGAAAATAGTAATATTTAAATTTAAGTGATGAAAATAATTTCGAATAAGTTAGAGTAACATTAGAGGTGTGCATTTAATAGAGTCGAACCGAACATTTATTGACTCGAAAATAGAAAATTCGAATTTAGTATAATTCGATTTGAACTAATCAATTCGAAAATCGGCGTTTCGAATTTCAAATTGCACAACTCAACTCGGTCTACTCTCAATTCGAACATGCTAATTTGAAATTCGAAGGTTTGAATTTCACAACTCGGCTTGATTAACGTTCGATTCGAATCGGCCAATTCAAAATTCGAAGTTTCGAATTGCTCTACTTGATTTTCGAATAAAATCGGTCAATTCGAAACACAACATACGGCATACACATCATAGTACATTACATAGCAATTGGAAAGTCGAAACTTCGAATTTCAAATTGGCCGATTCGAATCGAGAGTTTGATTCGAACTTGCCAATTCGAATCGAAAGTAGACCGAGCCGAGTTGAGCAATTCGAAATTAGAACCTTTGATTTCTAATTGCCAAGTTCGAATCGAATTTTCTCTCGATTGGAATTTTGCACACCTCTAAGTAACATTTTTTTTTATAAAATAATAATTTTTCACTGTGTTACTTTTAATTATTATAAAAACATGAATAAATCGATCACTCCAAATCGAATAATCGGACAGATTGATATTTTCATGTTTTATAATATTCTTATAAATTGTTGAATTCTAAAAAGGTTCAAATTTGAATTCTTTGAAAATCTTAATTCCTATGGAAAAATAATAATGAATAAATATTATGTAACAATAACATAAATAATAATAAAAATGGAAAAATATTTGATTTGACAATCCCTGGAAAATTCTAAAGCATCTTTTTTTTACAGCTTCTACAATACCACCAAAATCAATTAGAACTAGAAGCTCGGGGCAGCGACAGCTCAAAGAGCAGCACCACCTGTCATTGATGGTGCTGCAGTTCAAACCACAGCAGAGCCAGCAGTCCCACTGGGACCACCAGCAGCCGCAGTTAAAAGAGCAGCACCACCTGTCTTTTATGGTGCTGCAGTTCAAACCACAGCAGAGCCAGCAGTCCCACTGGGACCACCAGCAGCCGCAGTTCAAAGAGCAGCACCACCTGTCTTTTATGGTGCTGCAGTTCAAACCGCAGCAGGACAAGCAGTCCCACTGGGACCACCAGCAGCCGCAGTTCAAAGAGCAGCACCACCTGTCTTTGATGGTGCTGCAGTTCAAACCGCAGCAATGCAAGGAGTCGCACTGGGAACACCAGCAGCCGCTTTAAGGACCGGATTGCCTTTGCCACAAAAAAGAAATCGCAGGCAAATCGGGGAATTCAAGGAAGAGGAGGAAGAATGGATTGATGAAGGGTATCATCATAATTTTGGATGTCCACGACAGCAGCCTGTCTGAAACCAATTCTACGTGCACCCACAATCTGCAATGAATTTTGGTATGGGATTCCAGCACAATCCGCAGATGTACCTGCGAAATGTTATGAACTATAGTCGAATTTCATATAACGCCGGACTTCCTCCTCTTCCTCCAAATGTATTTTTCGCACCGCAAGCCTATCCTTTACAGCCTTATATGGGAAATTTCCCTCAATACCAAGCAGCTGATATTAACGAGCAATTTCTCTCAATGCAATAAAACCAAATTTTCTTAAGATTAAATCTTATGAAATATTACTTTTAACTCATTCTCTCTCTCTCTCTCTCTCTCTCTCTCTCTTATTCCATTGTTCGCTATTACTATATCTCAATTATCCTTTTTTCTCCTATTCAATCTTATTATCCCTCATTCTCTTTTACTTTATCTCATTCACTCTTATTTTTTCTCATTCTTCTATAATCTATCTTACTTTCTTTTATTATCTCTCGTTCACCCTTATTCCTGCTTAATCTTTCTCATTTTCCCTCATTCTCTCTTAATCTTTCTCATTCTTTCTTATTGTCAACTATTCTCTCTCGTTCACCCTTAAACTCTCTCATTATCTCTCATTCACTCTTATTTTCTATCATTCTCTCATACTTTCTTTTAATCTCTCTTATTTTCCCTCTGGGCTTTACCCAGTGGGAGGCTACTTCTTGATATCTCTCGTGGGGACTGCGGGGGCAAACCCTTCAAAATGGGTCGGCCGCTACAGAAATCGAATCTTTTGTTTTTCGCTGGTCAGTGTCCCAGCGCACGGGGATTTAGAAGGATATCGAGAGAGACGGGATGGACAGAGGCTTAACCGCGGGTCCATTCCGAAGACTTCTTGCTAATGGAAGTCTGACCAAGAAGAAACCCTTCCATGGTTACGTTGGCTGTGCCATGGCGATTGAGGCGTGAGTCTCTGCCACCCATTCCGTGATGAACTCGTGTCCAGAGATGAATGATACCAGGGTTACCAAATCCGCCGGGTTCTTCCGTGGGGGGTTGGACGGGGGACGACCATCGCCGGGCATTACTTAGCTCTCGTAAAGTTCGGGAACGGTTGTGTTACAGGAGGGGTCCGTCCTCTGGACGACCCGTCCCCGTGGTGGGGTTCGAATAAAGGTATCTTAAACGAGAATAAAGGCTGGGGTGGGGACTACAGGGGACCAAACCTTGCAACAAGTAGATAGGGTTCAGCAACACTTGGGTAACCTTGCCCTTGAGGGCAAGAGACCAAGTGGGGCTGCAATGAGGAAGAAAAGGTGGGAACGAGCTCGGGACTCTCTGAGGACCGGATCGAATACCGCTGGCACTTCTTAGAACACTACTGGAGCGGGGGGAGGGCGTCGGGGGCCGGGCCGGGAAAAAGACGGCAGGACTCGGATAAGGCTTCCCCTAACACTAAAATGCCTTCAAAAAAGATGATGGGCCCACAAGGGGGAACATTATTGTTTGCGGAGATCTTTAGATCGTCATTAGCCGGGGCGAACGTCGCGGAAGGCTATCCGAGGGTCCAGATGACGTTGGCTAATCTAGACCAATTAAGGGTAACAATTCATGATGAGATTGGGGGGGACGAAGTTGGACCCTATCCTCATATCGGAGAGGTTCGCCTCACTAGGGGAGCGATCCTAGTAGAGTGCCTGGACTCAGAATCAAGGGAATGGCTAAATAGCCGTATACCTAGGTTCAGTCAGGCGTTAGGGGGTCTTGCCATCAAGGTGGTTGATCCGGCTGAGCTGATAAAGCTGGTAAGGGTTGTGGCTCAAGTACCCGGTCCTAGGGTTAACCAGGCTTCAATCCTTAAAAACCTCGGTAGACAAAATACCGGGGTGGATACATCCGCGTGGAGGGTGTATTCGGGAGGCGAGGGGAGAGCAGACTAAGCTGCGGCTGTGGGCTGTACTCTCGTGCTTGGAGTACCAGAGAGCGACATTGAAGCTCTCCAAGCTCGGCAGTTGAAACTGTGTTTTGCGCTAGGTCAAATCACTCTAAGAGTGGCGAGGCAAGGTACTGACACAGCTGCTGGGCAGAGTACCCAGGGAGGGAAGCGACTGAGGAGACCGTGAACCAGCCTTAAAAAAAATGTCTGCTTCCGGCATTCATTGTACGCAGATTAATTTGCATCATTGTAAGGGCGCTTCGGCGATTTTTGCCAAGAGCTTTACAAAGATGCAGACAGCTTTAGCCTTTATTCAAGAACCTTGGGTTTTCAAGGGGAGAATTAGAGGTCTGAACGGCTGTGGGGAGCTGGTTAGATTACCACAGGAACCAGTTCCAAGGGCGTGTCTTATCTATAAGGGTCTAGACGCTTTCCCTCTTTTGGAATTAACTACTAGGGACTTAGCTGTAGTTAAAGCTAAGCATCTGGAAAAGAACGGAAATAAAAGGGAGGTGGTAATAGCGTCCGCTTACTTTCCGGGAACAGGGGATGAACCTGCACCACCAAGAGAGGTGGAGAGGTTTGTAGATTACTGACAAAGGAGAGGGCTTCCTTTAATAATAGGGTGTTATGCTAATGCGCACCATGTCGTTTGGGGTAGCACAGACATTAATGACAGAGGCAGAAGACTTTTAGATTTTCTGCTAGATACAGATTTAGATATTTTAAATCAGGGTAATGAGCCGACTTTCGTTACTGTTAACAGAAAAGAGGTGTTGGATATTACGATCTGTTCCAAGTCTTTGTGTGATGGCGTGAGGGACTGGAGTGTGTCTGATGAAGATTCTCTTTTGGACCACAGGCTTATTACGTTTAGATTGGAATCGAAGGATCGGGAACAAGAGTGGGGACGTAATCCTAGGAGTACCGACTGGGCTTCATATAGTGAAGACCTCAAGGCCTCCATGGCATGCTTCCCCACTTCTTATGGAACAAGGGAGGAGTTAGAGCTTGCAGCGGAATATCTGCGAGATTCTATTATCTGTTCCTTTGAAAGGATCTGTGTAGTTAAGAAAATAGGCTTCAATGGGGGTGGGAAATGGTGGACCCCCCGTTTGGAGGAACGTAGGAAAACTGTAAGAAAGCTTTTTAATAAAGCCAAGAAACGTAGGCATCAGCGAGCATGGGATGAATATCATACCGCTCGCGATTCTTACAACAAAGAAGTAGAGAGGGCAAGGGGTGTCAGCTGGAGAAGATTTTGCGAGGGAATCGAGAGGGTACCAGAAGCTTCAAGACTTTATAAAGTACTAGCTCGAGACCCAATGGCAAAATTAACTACTATTAAGCTGCCTAATAGGCAGTATGCCCAGGATAAAAGGGAGTGTCTAAAGCACCTGATAAAAGTAAACTTCCCGGACTTTAGAGAAGGTTTGGAGAACAGCCATGGCATAGGACGAGGTAGGAACCGAGGATATCGGGAACACTAGAAACTAGCAGCCAGGGCCGTAACTCCGGAAGGGATTGATTGGGCAATAAGCACTTTCAAACCATTTAAGTCTTCAGGGGGGACGATATATATCCGGTTCTTTTGCAAAAGGGATTGGATTGTATTAGAGTACCCCTGTGTAAAATTATGAGAGCATGTATAGCTCTTGGTTAAACACCGGAGTCTTGGAAAAAGACGAGGGTTGTGTTTATTCCGAAGGCCGGTCGATCAGGGTATACTGCGGCGAAGGACTTCAGGCCAATCAGACTAACATCCTTTATATTGAAGACGTTAGAGAAACTGGTGGATAATTTTATTCGACAGGAGTGTCTTAGAGATTCTCCCCTACATCAGCGACAGCATGCATATAGAGCAGGCTTCTCAGTAGAAACAGCCCTCCATTCGGCAGTAGGCAGAATAGAGGGACAAATTAGCAGTGGTGGCTATGCGGTTGGTACCTTTCTTGATATCGAAGGTGCCTTCCCTAACACCTCTAGCAAAGCTATCTGTAGGGCAGCCAGGATGCGAGGTGTGCCTGAGCCGCTAGTTAAGTGGATCGACAGCATGCTTCGCAAAAGGACCCTGGTAGCGGAGTATGGTGAGGCTAAGGTAACAGGCCTTGTCACAGGGAGGAGTCCTCTCTCCTTTATTGTGGTGCTAAGTGGCAGATGAGTTAATTAGAAACCGCAATAGCCAGGGATATTATACGCAAAGTTATGCGGATGATTTCCTTATAATTATAAGAGGGCACGCAATTGAGACCCTCTTAGAACTTACGGAACGTGCACTTAAGATTGTCAAGGATTGGTGCAATCTGACTGGACTTTCCGTAAACCCAGAGAAAACGAATGTAGTAGTTTTCACAAGAAAATATAAAGTACCGAGTTTGAAAAAACCGATATTTTATGGAAAAGAGATTTCTTTTTCTGAATCGGGTAAGTATCTGGGATTAATCCTGGATAAAAAGCTGATTTGGAAGGAACATTTCGAAAATCAGTATAGAAGGTTCTGTACCGCGTTTTGGGCGTGTAGAAGGGCGATAGGTTAATCGTGGGGACTAAGGCCTAATATGGTCAACTGGCTCTATCAGATGATCTTAAAACCAAGGTTTCTTCACGCGGTGGTTGTCTGGTGGTCTATGACTCAACTGATAACGGTTAAAGAGAAACTGGACCAACTGCAGGCAATAATTTTCAAGGGTATTACGGGGGCAATGAGGACCACGCCAACAGCTGCGTTGGCATTCATGCTAGCCGAGGTATTTCTGCATATTGCCGCGGTGAAGAAGGCGGCTCTTACTATGAGCAGGTTAACTGCGCAGGGAAGATGGAGGTCTTGTGGTTTACACACCAAGCTTCCACGCTCAATTCTATCAATCCCAGAATTAAGTATGGTGCAAGATAGAATGATCAAGAGGGTGAAATTTAAACCCCGCTTTAAGATCATTACACTTTCCAGAATGGATTGGAAGAAGGGTTTTCCACTTAGGAACGAAGTCTGGTATACTGACGGCAGCAGCAGCAGTCTGGCAGACAGAGGTCTGTGCGATTTTAACTTGCCCCCAAATATCCATTCGAAATGGAACAAAGGGCAAGAGGATTAGTATTTGTTTGGATAGTCAAGCAGCCTTAGGGGCTCTGAAGAATCCCACAATAGAATCAAAACTCGTCTGGCAATGCCGCAGCGTACTAGATGAGTTGGGTTTAGCAAATAAACTTTCATTGATTTGGGTACCGGGTCACTCGGGAATCAAGGGTAATGAAAGAGTAGACGTCTTGGCGAAAACCGGTTCCGAGACGAAATTTATGGGTCCTGAACCAGCAGTGGCAATAATGCCGTGCTTGGTTAAGGGAGCCATAGAAAGATGGGGTCAAAAGGAACATAAGAAGTATTAGGTGAACGTTGGGGTGGGAAGGCAAGCGAAAACTCTGTTGGGGCTAGCACTCAACAAGAGGCGAGCGAGCGATCTCCTAAAACTCGATAAGATCAGAGTTAGAACCGTAGTTCGTCTACTTACGGGTCATGGACTATTGAACTACCATCAGCATAAAATAGGCAGACAAGTTTCACCTATGTGCAGACTGTGTGGGGAAAGTAACGAAACTTCGAGTCACATATTATCTGAATGCCCAGCGCTAGCTAGGATCAGGCTATCTAGTTGGGGTCAAGCAATTATTGACCCCAAGGTAGGTAAGCAACCTATCGATAGAAGAGATACTGGACTTCTGGAGAAGAACAGGACTCTAAGGGTTGCTATAAACGAGCGAGCCGGAGCCTGGTATAATGGGTTCCTTTAACCTAGATGCTTACTTTCCCCTCTTTAGGAAAATCCAGCTTGATCTCGGTGTCAGATTAGATTAGATTCACCCTTATTCTCTCTTAATCTCACTCATGCTCTTTTACTGTCAGCTATTCTCTCTCGTTCATCCTTATTCACTCTCATTTTCTTTCATTCTCTTTTATTTTCTCTCATCTCTTTAACTTTCTTTTATTCTCTCTCGTTCACCTCATTCTCTCTTAATCTCTCTCATTCTCTCTTATTGTCAACAATTCTCTCTCGTTCACCCTTTATCTCTCTTTAATTGAAATGTTAGTATTTTGCTTTTCTTGATAATAATGATAATTAATTAACAATTATTTGCTTGCAGAAAGATATGAAAGATGTTAAAAATCTCCTTATGGACCTGCTGTCGCCGAAAAAATATCGTGGTGGAGGCAGAGGACGCGGTGGAAAAAAAGGTGGACGAGGAGGTGGACAAGGACTTTACTATTAATCATTTTTATTAATTATCATTACTATTACTTATTTCTAAGTATATTATACCTGAAAAGTAAATAAAACAAATATGAAAAGATAATTTTACAACAAATTTTCGTATTCTTTTATTTATTTATCAAATTTTTGATAAAAATTTTTAACCTTTTTTTAAACAAATTTTGTACAATATTGTTAAAAAATAGTCAAAAATATTATTAAATTCTCTCTTCTTCTCTCTTATTTTCTCTTCTTAACTCTTATTCTCTCTCATTTACTCTTATTTCCTCTTATTCTCTTTCGTTCACTCTTCCTCCAAGGTTACCACAGGTCTGGGAAATCAGGGAAAAGTTTTTTCATAAAAAGTACTGAAAAAAATTAACTTTTTAGAATTCTTAAGAAAATTTTGATTTTTTAATGTTTTTTTATGTTTGCCTTATAATTTATGAAACAATTACGAATTCTGATACAAAAGCTTCAACAACTTTTGTCTGTACTTTGCATAGAATTTAAAAATTCATGTTTAGTTTTTCTATTCGAGTAGTAAGAATTCCAAAAATGACAATAAAAAAAATTATCTATGTATGTATGTATGTCTGTGTGTATGTGAGGCATTATTCCTGAACTGCCCCAAAAATAAAAAAAAGTTCTTGGATTTCCTTTATACTTTGGAAATATGTTACCCTAGTAGGTACAAGTTACCACACCAATTTACAGGTCCAACCCCCCACCCCAATCAAAACGGTGGGGGGTTGAAATTTCAGCTTCAACTCGAACATGCATTCTTTAAACATTTGTAGTTTCTACTTAAATTATTCAATTAAAAAAAGTAAGTAGTGTTTTAGAAAGGTTTTTTTGTGTACTTTCAAAATATTTTATTTATATAATAAAAAAAAAATTTTTTTTGCAAAAATTTTTTAAAATAAATAGTTATTTGCAATTTTGTGCAAGTTCGGTATTTTTTATTTTCTTTTTAATAATCTCAAATGAAAGCTTGGGAATTCCCCTAAAAGAAGATATAAGTCTGAAAATGAGCCGAAACAATTTGCCAAAGATATAGTGTAATAAGTAAAATTTGTCCGTCCGCTCGCGCACTCCAGCGCGATGAACAGTGGGATTTTTTTTCAACTTACTATTGAAAATTGTCTAGAAACTACAAATTTTATCGGATGTTGATGTTCTTGATTTAAAATTACTAAGAGATCCATCAAAGTCGATTTTTGAATTTTTAATTGTTTATTTTTTTCTTGTTACTCAAAAATTTGACAAATTACAATATTTTAAAAAAAAATCATGTTAGTTTTTTTATTTTTCCATTACACATGATCGAAATCAATTTAAATTAGTCTAGTATGACCACCGGACAATTAATAAAGCATAATACAATTTATTTAAATTGTTGCAAACAATGTTAATTAACAAATAGATTACTTCGGACCTTCTTCATAAAAAAAATTGTTTTTTTTGCAGACAAGTTTAAATTTATGTCTAATTTAGTAAAAAACTATTTTACAGTTAAAAATTATCATTAATATTAACAATTATATAAATAATAATCAACTTCCTTTTGTATTTGTAAACATTTTCGTCATTTTTCAAACTTTAAATATTTATATCATATGTACATTCTTTCAAAAACTTAAAAAATATATTTGCTTAAACAATTACATTTGTTATAAACAAATTTTTCATTTTTAAACAAATAATTAGCTTTTTTCATCAAACAAAATTTTTCCCTTTTTTATATTTACTATCATAAAAAAGAACTCCTTAATGAAATGGGAATACTATAAATTATTCATTTAATTTTAATAAACATTATAAGTTAACAAATATTTAACTTCGTTCTTTTTTCACAGAAAAAATATATTTATTTATATGCATTTAAATGTAAACTGTTTTAACTGAATAATGGTTTACTTCATTAAAAATATAAATATTTCTTAACTTATAATGTTCGTTAGAATTAAATGAATAATTTATAGTATTCTTATTTCATTAAGGAGTTCTTTTTTATGATAGTAAATATAAAAAAAAGGAAAAAATTTTGTTTGATGAAAAAAGCTACTTATTTGTTTAAAAATGAAAAGTTTGTTTATAACAAATGTAATTGTTTAAGCTAATAAGGTTTTTATGTTTTTGAAAGAATGTACATATGATATAAATATTTAAAGTTTGAAAAATGACGAAAATGTTTACAAATACAAAAGGAAGTTGATTATTGTTTATATAATTGTTAATATTAATGATATTTTTTAACTGTAAAATAGTTTTTTACTAAATTAGACATAAATTTAAACTTGTCTGCAAAAAAACCAATTTTTTCTATGAAGAAGGTCCGAAGTAATCTATTTGTTAATTAACATTGTTTGCAACAATTTAAATAAATTGTATTATGCTTTATTAATTGTCCGGTGGTCATACTAGACTAATTTAAATTGATTTCGATCATGTGTAATGGAAAAATAAAAAAACTAACATGATTTTTTCTAAAAATATTGTAATTTGTCAAATTTTTGAGTAACAAGAAAAAAATAAACAATTAAAAATTCAAAAATCGACTTTGATGGATCTCTTAGTAATTTTAAATCAAGAACATCAACATCCGATAAAATTTGTAGTTTCTAAACAATTTTCAATAGTAAGTTGAAAAAAAATCCCACTGTTCATCGCGCTGGAGTGCGCGAGCGGACGGACAAATTTTACTTATTACATTATATCTTTGGCAAATTGTTTCGGCCCATTTTCAGACTTATATCTTCTTTTAGGGGAATTCCCAAGCTTTCATTTGAGATTATTAAAAAGAAAATAAAAACTACCGAACTTGCACAAAATTGCAAAAAACTATTTATTTTAAAAAATTTTTGCAAAAAAAATTTTTTTTTATTATATAAATAAAATATTTTAAAAGTACACAAAAAAACCTTTCTAAAACACTACTTAATTTTTTTAATTGAATAATTTAAGTAGAAACTACAAATGTTTAAAGAATGCATGTTCGAGTTGAAGCTGAAATTTCAACCCTTCACCCTTTTGATTGGGGTGGGGGGTTGGACCTGTAAATTGGTGTAGTAACTTGTACCTACTAGGGTAACATATTTCCAAAGTATAAAGGAAATCCAAGAACTTTTTTTATTTTTGGGGCAGTTCAGGAATAATGCCTCATGTATGTATGTATGTATGTATGTCTGTACGCAATATTTTGTCCGGGATAAACACAAAGATTACTTGACCGATTGAAACGAAACTTTACAGGCTCTTAGGTATTAGTCTAACTTAAATTTATAGCCATATCCGATTGAAAAATATTAAGCTGAACGAAAGTTATAGCTTTTTTCACAAATTTCAAAAAATAAAAAAAATGCAAATTTTTAAATTTTTTGTCAAATTGATGTGACACTTTCTGTAGCTACTTTTTAATATAAATACAACTAATTTTCAGTATAAAAATGAAATATAAAAAATATATCCGAATTTTTAAGCCAAATCATATTTTTGATTTTCGACAAAATTTTTAATTAATTTTTTTTGTTGAATATTGTTTAATTTTTTATGAAATTGGTATGGATATCGGTTGCTATTTTTAAATTTTAAATTACATTTATTACATTTATTTTATTAACAAGTTTAGAGTCATGAATTTGATGTCTATTACAAATTTTCTAAAATCAATGAACGTGAGTTTGCAAACAATTTCTATATTGATATTTTCAGGTTTTAAGTTTGAAAATTTCATAGTATGTATTGTCATATTTAATGTAGAAAATAAAATATATATATGTTCAATATAAAGGGTGCAGTAAAAGTATCAATAAAACTGAAATTTGACTTCAGCGGGCACTGGGACATAGAAAGTCCTTAAGACGCCATTAGAGCAAATTGGGATTTATGAATCAAAATTTTTGAATTCTAGAAATGTTTTAGAAATGACTTTAAAAATAAATATCAAATTCCTATTTATAAATTAAAATTTTTCTTCTTGAATTTTAGAAATGTTTGGGGTATGTTGTTGCTTTCCAAAATTCTTTCCGGGCATTACGCAAAAACGGGTAAAATGTAAAATCCCATGTGGAAATTTTCAATAGGGATATGGAAAAATTATAAAAGTGGATCCCATGTGGGAATCGAAAACGTGTTATGGTTTCTACTAATACATTTAACAGAGTGTCTATTAACCGCGAAGGAAACCCGACAAATAGCCGGGAATTTAATTCGACCAAGAAAAATCGGGAATTTTCTTATCTAATTAAAAAAAGTTTTATTATATTAATTCATTTGTAAAAAATTGCTTTTTGATTTAATTTCTATTAATGTAATATTTTTATTTCTCAAAATTTAAGACCTACACTACCGTCGGGAATTATCGGTACGGCTGTACGCGCACGACCCAAAAACATACCAATCTTTAAATCACGATTTTTTTGTAAATACAAATGTCAGAAAATTAACAAATATACCATTCGAAAGATTATTAAATTCTACGATTAATGGTACATAACTGAAAATTTTAATAATTTATACAAAGATTGCAGCAATTGACAAATTTGACAAAAAAATTTTAAAAATACAATTTTTTTGGAAATTTTTAACCCCTGCACATTTTTTAAAAATTGCAGAAAAAATTTGAAACTTATATAGGTGTGATCATTGAAGTCTCATCTTTAATTTAAGACCTAAAAAATTTAAAAGTCTTAATCGGTTAGCGAGATATCATTATAAACGGACGAGCATTTTCAGCCAAAAACCGTTCAAAATCGACTAATTCAATGCATTTGTCAAAAAACATGCTCGGACGTTTATAATGATATCTCACGAACCGAATAAAATTTTTAAACTCTTTTGGTCTTAAATTAAAGATAAGACTTGAATGATCACACTTATGTAAGTTTCAAATTTTTTCTACAATTTTTAAAAAATGTGCAGGGGTTGAAAAAATTCAAAAAAAAATTGTATTTTTAAATTTTTTTTGTCAAATTTGTCGATTGCTGCAATCTTTGTATAAATTATTAAAATTTTCAG